GAAGAAATGTCTAAAAGTATATCACCTACCAAAATTAATCCCTGAAGACGTAACTTAAACAGACCCATTATAAGCAATGAGAGTGAAGCTGTTATTAAAAGCCTCCCCTTTAAGACAAGCCCAGGACCAGGTAGATTCACTGCTGAATTCTATCAAGCTTCCAAGGAAGACCTCACACTAATTCTTAACTTATTCCATAAGATAGAAAGTGAAGAAACACTACCAAATTCATTCTACAAAGCCAATATTATCTTATACCAAAACCAGGTAAAGACACACACACACACACACACACACACACACACACTACAGACCTACTTCCTCAATGAACATAGATGCAAATATTCTGAAGAAATTCCTTGCAAACTGAATTCAGGAACACATTTAAAGAATTACACATCACCAGACATGGTGGTGCATACCTTTAAACTCAGCATTCAGAAGGCAGAAGCTGGTGGGTCTCTCTGAGTTCAAGGCAAGCATTAGAAATTAGAAAGTTTCAGGACAGACAAGGATACATGTCTCACAAAAAAAAAAGAGGAGGAGGAAGATATTTTCACTAAGTAGGCTTTGTCCCAAAGGCAAGGTTTACTTAACATACATAAACAAACATGAAAGACAGAAATCACATAATTATTTCAATTAACATTCAAAACTCATTTCACAAATGCTTTATACCACAGCCATATAGCCAACTGCTTTAAATCAGTGTTCTCTTGCTGTGAAGAGCCACGGCAACCATGACAACTCTCGTAAGGGACAGCATCAGCATGGCAGGAAGCATGGCAGCACGCAGGCAGACAAGGCGCTGGAGGTGAAAGAGTTCTATCCAGATCAGCAGGAAGCAGGAAGAGAGAGAGCCAATGGGTATGGCTTGGGCTTTTGAAATCTCAAAGCCCACCCCCAGTGACACACTTTCTCCAACAAGGCCACAACTACTGCAACAAGACCACACCTCCTAATAGTGCATTTACTATTAGGTGACCAAGCATTCAACTCTGAGCCTATGGAGGCCATTCTTATTCGGACCACCACACCACATGGAGAATATTTCCTCTAAAGTCAGCATCAAGGATTTGCACTCTTGTCTCTCTTATTTGATAGAGGGCTCAAAAATTTAGCTATAGTAATAAGAGAAAGACATAAAAATAAAAGGGATAGCAATAGGAAGAGAAGAAGTCAAACTATCCCTATTGTCAGATAACATGATTTTTTTTACTTTAAAGATCCTATTGATTTTAAACTCTCAGAAATAATAAAACTTAAAGTTGCAGCATACAAAATGAATTTAAACAAAAGTAGCCTTCATTTATACTAACAGTCTACTGCCCAAGAAATTAGGATATTAGGAAAAAATATTCCATTCAAAATAACTCCCACCAAAATTAAGTGTGTAGGAATATATCTAAGCAAACACGTAAAAGGCCTCTACAATTAAAATTTCAAGATATTCAAAAAAGGAATGACAGAAGAGACTAGACATTGCAAAAAATATTCCATGTTCCTGCATATGTACAGTACTGTGAAAATGTCTATACTGCCAAAACTAATATACAGAATTAAAGTAATACTTATCAAAATTTCCATGTCATATGTCATAGGTTTAGAGAAAACAATGCAGGAATTTATATGGAACCACAAGAGACCACGGATAGACAAAGAAGTCTTGGAGTAAGAGCAATACTGGAGGCATTCAACACCAGAACTCACATTCTACAGTAGTGAGGAAGACAGCTTGATACCAGAATAAAAAGAGACAAGTAGGCCAATGGAATCATACAGAGGACCCAGAAACAAAACACAAAGCTATGCCCACTTAATTTTTTACAAAGGAAACAAAACTATTTTGGGAAAAAGCCTATTCAACAAATGGAGCTAGAGAAACTAGATTTCTAGCTGAAGAATAATTAAATTAGATTTTTATTTCTACTTTGTACAAAAGTCAATTCAAAATGAACCAAAGACCTTAACTTAAAGCCTGAAACACCAAAACTTAGAAAAAGTACAAGGGATACCCTTCAAGGTATTTGGGCAGGTAAGACCTTTCCAAATAGAACACCAGCAGCCCAGGCACTGACCCTCAGTGTCAATAGATGGGGCCAGATGAAACAAGTTTGTGCACAACAAAGAAAACAGTCAGCAGGGTTACAGTCAGCAGGCCACAGAAAGGGAGAGAAATCTTTGCTGGCTACACTTCAGACAAAGGACTAATATCCAGAATTTACAAAGAATTAGACAAATTAAATACCAAGGAAATAAAACTGCCAGTAAACATACGGGATAATGAATTGAATAGACAACTTAAAAAAAAAAAAAGAAATACAGCCAGGTGGTGGTGATGCACTCCTTTAATCCCAATACTTGGAAAGCAGAGGCAGGAAGATCTCTGTGAGTTCAAGGCCAGTCTGGTCTATACAGTAAGTTACAGCCAAGGCTACCCAGAGAAATACTGTCTCAAAAAACAAAAACCGAGAGAGAGAGAGAGAGAGAGAGAGAGAGAGAGAGAGAGAGAGAGAGAGAGAGAGAGGAAATATCCCTAGACAACAGGAAAATGCAAATGAGAACTGCTCAGAGACACCACCTCCTGCTAGTCAGAATCTGAGACCTGGAGAGATGTGCAAAGAAAGGAGTCCCTACTCACTGTTGGTGGGGGTGCAGGAGCACAGCCATGTGGAAGACAGTTTGGTGATTTCTCCAAAAATTAAAAGTAGAACTATCAGATGACCCTGCAGTTCACTCCTGAATACCTATATCCTACCATGGAGATGTTTGCCCCTCCATGTTTACTCTGCTTTATTTACTAAAGCAGAAAAACGGTAACCAGTCCAGCTAGCCATCAACAGATGAAAAGATTATATGTATATATATACATATATATCAAAAAATTACCTAGCTCTAAAGAAAAATGAAATTGTAAAATTTCCAAGAAAATGGATGGACTTAAAATGTACAATATTAAAATCACAAAATCTCAGGAAAAAAACCCCACCACATATGTAGTCTCTCTCTCATATGTAGAATCTAGCCAGTAACACATGTGTACACATATACACATTCTTGTGAGTGTAACATAACATGAAGAAGAGAGAACAAGAAAAGCTGAGTACCATGGGATGAGGAATACATGTGACAGACATGAATTATGAAAGAGAATAAGCAGATAATGGTTTTCCTAGTTCTAATTCTTCCACGGAACTTTTGGGTTGGGTGGTATATAAGTACATGAACTATATTCAATATTTAAGTGTAAAATTTAATGTGAAGTGCCACGGCTTCCATTGTGAATGCTCTCTCTAACTGAGCAGAAGTTCAGTGAGTTGTACAGATTTTTAGTCTGGTTAACTTTGGTATGTGATGTTTTTATTTATTTGCAACTTGTTTATAATAAAGTTTATTTTAACAAATTAAAGATAAAGGCCCCATCTCAAAAACTGAAAATGGATTATTTCAATTTAGAAGTGTTGTAGTAAATGGCTGCATAAAAAAAGTTCCATGTAAGGTTCCCAAGAAAGATGCATGATACCCCAGAGAAGTGGAATGAGGCAAGATCTCCTGAGCAGATTGGGAACATCGGTGGAGGGGAGAGGGAACCAAGAAAAAGAGAGGGGGATAAGAGGAGGGGAGAAGAAGACATGGGGGGCAGCAGGAAGTTTGAGTAGAGGTAAGAATAGAGGAGAGCAGGATGAGAGATACCATAATAGATTGAGTCATTATAGGCTTGAGGAGAGAGCTGACTCTAGTGAGATCTCCAGAGATCTACAAGAATAGCAGCAACTGGCATACTAAGCAATAGTGAAGAGACTACATTAATAACCCCTCCTTGATGATAGGGTTGATCACTATCATATATGCCATCCTAGAACCTTCATCCAGGGTCTGATGGAAGCATAGACAGATACCCACAGCTAAACACTGAACTGCACTCCTGGAACCTAGTGACATAGATGGAGGAGTGATGAGCAAAGGGGTCAAGACCATGATGATGAAACCCACAAAGACAGCTGACCAGATAAGGGGGAGCTCTTGAATCCCAGACTGATGGCTGAAAGGCCAACAGGGGACTGATCCAGTCCATGAATGTAGTGCCAGGGAGGAGGCCACAGAAATCACTGGGGCCTTGGGTAGTAGATCAGTGTTCACCATGGTTTATAAATGAGCTTTGGGAGTCTATTCCAAATAGAGGGATGCTCTCTCAGCCTGGACACATGGGGAAGGGCCTAGGTCTGGCCCAGGATGAAATGAGACTTTAGATATCCCCCTCAAGGAGAGTCTAACCCTCCCTGGGGAATGATGTGGGGATTGGGTATGGGGTTGGGGGGCTGATGGAGGGACAAGGGAAGAGGGGTGGGAGAGGGAGCTGGGACTGAGATGTGAAACATTCACATTTCTAATTTAAATAAAAGCATATATTGAGAAAAAAGTTCCATGTAGACTGGGCAGGTTTAACCCACAGAAACAGTTGACAAGGGGGAGCTCTTGGACCCCAGAATGATGACTGGGTGGACAGCATGGGACTGATCCAGACCCCCTGAATGTGGGTGTCAGTGAGGAGACCTAGGTAACCTATAGGGCCGTGGGTAATATTTATCCCTGGCATACAAATAGACTTTGAGTGCCCATCGCACAATGAGGGATGCTCTCTCAGCCTGGACTCTTGGGGGAGGGCCTAGGCCCTGCCCTGGATGAAATGACAGACTCTGGAGATTCCTCCATGGAGGGCCTCACCCTCCTTGGGGATCTGAGTAGGGACTGGGTGGGGGATTGGAGGTGTGGGGGAGGAGGGGAGGGAGAGGGAGTTGGGATTGACATGTGAAGCAAGCTTGTTTCTAACTTAAACTAAAAAAAAAAAAAAAGGAGGGGAAAAAAGTTCCATGTGTAATAAACTTATAAACAAAACAGATCCCATACGAAAACTGCCCAATTCCTCAGAGCAAATACCTCCAGAAGCACATTAAGCCTGAAAGAGACCTGAGTTGCATCTAGGACACGCATTTCCGTACCTGGTGTAACGCAATACTGGATGCATGCAGGTCAATAGCGGCCAGAGAGGGAATGCGAGATTCTGAAAGAGATTTGTTCTCCTTCTTTATTAGCCTAGAATTTCGAGCTAGATAAAAAAGAGTCAGAAACATAGTGAAAAAAAAATGAGGAACTACTGGTTTTCCACATTTATAAGTGCTTAACTATATACGAGTGAATACATTAGCATATTTAAATATACAAATTACGATTCGTTTTTAACATTGTTAGTTTATTTAACTTACAATTTAGCAATATAAACAAAAGGGCTGGAAAGAGTAGATGCTCATGAACATACCTATTCCTTCTAGAGCTCTCAGTTCAGGGAGATGATTATAGTTTAGTTCAGGCAATCGCACATCTGCTTTGGAATATTCCTTCCTTTTCTTATTTGCCTGAAGGAGGTACTTTTCACTAGAGACCTAATTATCGGAACGATTAACACACATGAATTAGCTTTAAGGTGAGCCAAGCTGTTAACTACTATATTCATATATTCAAAGGTGTGCTTTCAAGGGCTGGAATAATAGAACTTTAAGGACATTACTGCCACAGAAAAGAGTGTCACTATCTAATTTATCAAACTTGCTAACAAGTACACAATTTGGTTTTCTAGTTTATTTTCTCCCCTTTGCCAGTCTTCAGTGAAGTCCCAGTAAGCAAGAGGCAGCAGAAGATAGACATGGCATCCTGGTTCTTTAAACCAGCAGGGTCAGCCTTACACCACCACCTGGGCTTTTCAGCAAACACGTTCTATTATTTGCCTTAGTTGTGACCAGTTGGTCTTCATATACATTATCCAACCCCCAAGTTTACTATCTCAGTATAATCTTGTTACTCAGCTTTTGATACCTATACCCCAGACCCTCTGGATCTGCTTTAACAGACTAAACATTACTGTAAGTGATGGAATGGATCAGTGAGAAAAACCATGGCACAAATTACTGAGCTGGAAGCTTACTTTCCATTGCAAAGAGATATACAAGATATTAATATAACACACAGAGGCTATCAGGTATATACAGTGGAAGAAAACTAGGTGAGGAGAGGGTCTAAACAGTGATGCAGGACTAGATGCCATACTAAGATGAGTTCAATTACAAAGAACTCAAAATAAGGTTTCATATGGACTAAAGAGGACAAGAAGCATCTGTTGGATTATCTAGGGGAAGAATGTTCTCGAGAGGAAGAAATAGCAAGTGTAAAAGCCCAAAGGCAGAGGTGTATCTGGTCATTGCATGAAAGTAAAAAGGAAACCTATAGTTGTAACAGATCGAGGAACAGAACAGACAGAGATGGAATACAGGATTAGGGACTTGACTCATGAAAGAACTTATTATACCTAGAAGGACTCTGGTCTGGACATAGAGAACAGAAGCCAACTGAGAGTTTGAATCAGAACATAAGGTAGACTACTTGATGTGGTCTTAGACCAGCATTCTGCAGGCTTTGCTGAGAGCAGTGATCCTCCTTCCCAGGCTATCTCTGAACCACATGCGTACTTCTCATATTGAAATCTGCCATCATGTTTGGTTGGTTGATCTGTTGGTTGGTTTGGATTTTTCAAGACAGGTTCTTTAGTCCTGGCTGTCCTGGAACTCACTCTGTAGAACAGGGTGGCCTCAAACTCACAAAGATCCGCCTGCCTCTGCCTCCAAAGTGCTGGGATTAAAGGTGTGCCCCACCAACACCTGGCCTGCCATCATGTCTTTACCTTGCTGATATACTAGACCATGAACTCCACAAAAAATTGAAACAATCAGTTCCAGTGTCTTATATACAGCAGAATGATCACAAATGTTTCTTTTTTTTTTGTTTTCTTTTTTTGTTTGTTTTTTTACGAGACAGGGTTTCTCTGTATTGTTTTGGAGGCTTTCAGTCCAGCCCGGCCTCGAACTCACAGAGATCTGCCTGCCTCTGCCTCCCGAGTGCTGGGATTAAAGGCGTGCGCCACCACCGCCCGGCCACAAATGTTTCTTAAGTGATTATACAAAGTACTTTCACTAAAAATCTAGTACGATAGCCAGGCATTGGGTTAAGAAAAGTTATTTATGTTGCTAAAAATAAATGAGATGGCATCTAAAGAGAATCTTTCATTCAGACTTAGAAAATTTATTTAAATATTCAGAATTTCAAATTACAGCTATGACAAGTCAGGATGGCATTGTATAACTCAGATTTTACTCTATGTCTCCAAACAAAACTCTTCATCCTTCACTCTCACGTTTAAGACCAATGCAGGTCTAAAGGTGATGAGTGCTTGCACTTTTGCTGCTGAGAACAGCTACTTACAGATGTGGCCGCGTTCATATTATAAATCCCTGATGGAGAAGGTTGACTTTGTTTAACGAATGGGTTACAGTATTTTTTAGTTTTCTCATCCACTCTGTAAGAAATGTTTTAAGTTAGAATCATTAATGATTACTTTCTCAAACACAAAATCAATGACATCATACTAAAAGATAAGCAATTTAATCAGAATTTAAGACCTATTCTCATGTATACAATGTACAGAAACCTGGTGAAACATCCTAATGCTATGACATACTTGGGATTCCCGCAGCTGCCCCTTTCGGGAAAATGCCCAAAGGAGCATCTGAAGCCTATACTCACCACCATTCCATGCAGCAGCAGGCACCCAGAACTAATTAGTCCTCTTATTAATGACAGCCTCTCATGTTATTAAACAGCTACACATTCTCTTTATCATAAACAACAGTAAAATCCTACTTTCTTAGGGCACTTAGCAAACTCTAGTAATTTTCATCATGAGATCATCACATTTAAAACAGCTACTTTGTAAGTAGAAATTGCATCCAGAATTCTGGCAGTAACAATATGAACAAATTAACAAGCATTTTTTTTTCTCATTTCCCATTCATACCTGTAACTCTGTACTCCAGGAATAGTCCCCATTCCAGCATTGATGCCAGGAGCAACTGCAGAAAGATTGTGTGTGAGTGGAGGAATCGCCATGCCTGGATTTCTTGGGTGATCAACGTTGACATTGCTGCAGTCTCTGAGGCTTGTGGAGGGCAAGCCTTTGATGTGGCTTGTCCCGTTGTCATGGAGACAGCCGGCATTTGAAGCTCTACTTCCTTTTTCAGATTTCTCGCCATCAATTTTTGACCCTTTTATTTTAAGCACTTTAGAATCCTTGATTTTGGGATCAGCATTGGTATCCTGACCATTAATAAAGGGGTTAAAACGTTAATGAGCTGACAAGAAACTTCACAGTCTTATTCTACCTATGGAATTAAAATTAAATCAAGATTCTTATTCAAATAGTTACTGTGAAAATATAAGAAGAATGTATGTGATGCATACCAACTTGATAGATAGATAGACAGACAGACAGATACACACACACATACAGAGAGAGAGAGAGAGAGAGAGAGAGAGAGAGAGAGAGAGAGAGAGAGAGAGAGAGAGAGAGAGAAGAGAGAGAGAGGCAGGCAGGTCTGTGTCTATGGGTATACATTTCAGTAGGGAGAAAAACATGGAAGAGGAATAGAGATTTGCTGCTTTTGTTTTTACATATTCAGAGTCAGCAAGCACAAATTTGAAAACTCTTCTGTTTCACTTGATTAATAGTAGAAATGTTATTAAGAACAGACCCTGAGTATAATTTAGCAGGAAAAGTAATTTTTTTTTTATGTTTCCTGAGACAGGGTTTCTCAGGTATAGCCTGGCTGTCCTGGAACTCACTCTGTAGACCAGGTTGGCCTCAAACTCAGAGACTGCCTGCCTCAGCCTCCCAGGTGCTGGGGATTAACGGCATTATGAAAATTCTGAAAGTAATATTTTCATTTTCTGTTGTTAAGGAAGGAAAGTAGACTACATTGGGAGTGCACGCCTTTGCTCCCCAGTGTTGGATGTACATGGACAGAGACACCTAATGTTCTGGGACATGTGTGAGGAACTGAAATTCTCTGAAGATTTTGCAGATTGACTTTGAATGAGAAACTTTGGAGAGCCAGATGTAGGTCTAAAGACAAAGTTACCTTGGGTTATCTTAGTTCCCTTAATAGCCACTTAAACTCCATCTGACCCAGATTCCTCAAGACTATCAGGTAGACTCTTAGATTGTATTGCTAAGCATAGTGGACCTCTAGCTTCCACCAATCCAAAAGCTAAAGGTATAAAATAACATCTAGAAATCACAGAAAGGCTTCCTGCTCCACTCTAGCCTACCTACCTAACACCTACTAGTGTGTTTAGTAACCTTTGTTCTGTGACTTTAAAGTTCTCACAGCAAAACATGTCACGGTTGGTTACTCATCCTTGGTCCACAATATGCCATTTCCTTATGTCCTGCAAGTCATTATTTTATGTGAGCTGAGTTTTTAAGCAACACTATTGCACTTTCTAGTACCTGTTGAGCATTTAAAATATAATATATTAAAGTGTTTGTTGTTTTATAAGGTGGTGTTTACAGGAAAGATATTATTTTTGTTTGTTTGGCTTTTTGCAACCAGGTTGAAAGCTAACAATTTACCCAGTATTTAAAACTTTAAAATCTTCATTATTGGACTGGAGAGAAGGCTGGGTGATTAAGAGCATTTGTTGCTCTTGCAGAAGACAAGGGTTTGCTTCTCAGCTCCCTCATGGTGGCTCACAAACCATCTGAAAGTCCCATCCTAGAGAATCTAGTGCCCTCTACTGACCTTCACAGGCACCAAGCCTGTATGTGGTTCACATACACATAGGCTAAATACACATAAAATAAAATGAATAAATCTAATTTTTTAAAACTTAAATATTCACATTTTCCTCCACAAATTTAAGCCTTAAAGCATGAACATTTACCTGTACCACAAGCGTCTTTCTTTCTTCACCTAAGGCATCATCTTTTTCTTTCTTTCTGTTTTGAGATTTTTTGGGTAAAGAGTTATTCCTGGCATCTTTCTCTATTTTTAACTGCAATTCTTGAGAAAACCTATATAAAAGTACATGTCTCAATTAAAATAAAATTATATGGGAAAGATAAACATAGGGAAAAAAATCAAGATAATCACTTAAGACTCAGTGTTAAACTGATCCATTTTATTTAAAACGAGGAAAATTATATTCCATATGAAGAGTTCCTAAAAGCTTTCGGGGTGTGGGAGAATCTCTCAGGAGTCTTCGCATGAGAATGTCTGTGCCACCCTAAAAACACTGGTCCTGATGGCATAAAACAATGGTGAAAAGACTGGTGGCATCCTATCAAGAGCTGAAACACCTGCACTAAAGCAGGCTAGTAGCCATTGCTCCTTGGGACTACAAAGTCGGAATGTGTGTGAGAGTGGTGGGGTGGGGGGCACCTAGGGATGCTCACAATAAGGCAGTGAAAGGGGTTAATTTCATTAACGCTAATGGAACCCTTGAACACCCCTCTTCAGATTCTGTGTGATGGGAGGAGCTCCCACGGTCTGTAGTTCCACGGGCTGACTTAAGAGAAGCACTCAATGGCTGTTCTAGTGCAAGGCAAGCCACACAAGCTCCTCACAGACATTTGCGCTGAAAGGCTAACTGCAAAGCCTCACTTACTCACATGGCTGTGTAGCAAACACTCTGCTTTGAAAATGAACAAGGTGAGCCAGTCATTGCAAGGAAAGCAACAGATAACGTTTCTGTAAACAATTAAACTTTTATGCAAAAATGACAATTCTATTAACCTGGGATCTTAGAGGTGTTCCCATAGTTCACAGACCTTCTGATAAAATGGAGTATAATTTTTGATATTATCTCATGATACAGCAACATTTTAAGGTTCACATAATTCAACATTACCAATGTGCTTCAAATGATAAAAGTATATCATAAAGCATACACCAATAAAACATCAATTTTGAAGATCAGACAAAATGGATTTTAATGCAACAGAGAAAGAAAAGTTCAATGACATGGTTTACATTTCACAATGCATCCTGTCTTTTAGAGGACTGGAGAGATGGATCAGCAGCTAAGACTGCTTGCTGCTTTTCTGGAAACCCACACTCAATGTCCAGGCCACATCTGGTAGCAAGCAACTGCCTATAACTTCAGGTCCACAGCATCCAACACAGTCTTCCAGCATCTATGGGCACAGACATGTAACAGACAAAGACACACACATACATACATACATACATACATACATACATACATACAAATAAACATAAAGTAAATTTTAAATAAATGAACTGCTATAGCTGAGCTTGGCATGGTGTCATACACCTGTAAATTTCAGCATTCAGAAGGCCAAGAGAGGAGAATTCTGACTTTGGGTCTAGCCTGGTTTCAGATGAGCCAGAAGTACAGTGCAAGATCTTGCCTGTAATCATTTTTTAAAAGAAGAAGAGAAAAAGAAAGGAAACAAAAGAGGGAAGGAGGAATGGGGGGAGAAAGAACAAAAGAAAAAACTACCAATGCCAGGTCTTGGTATAATATTAAAGTTTGACATAAAATCAAAGAATACTAAATTACCTCAAAAGACTATTAAAATACTCTTCCACTTTTCTAGATATCCATTTGTTCCTTCCAACTAAAATAACATACCACTGTGTTCACAAACAAATACAGAAGCAAACGTGAGAATTCAAATATATTAAGTTAAATTTTGCAAAGCCTTAGAACTAGAGAGACAACTCAGCAGTTAAAAATGCACACTGCCCTTACAGAGGACCTGAGTTTAGTTTCCAGAACCCACTTCAGGAGCCACGCCTGTAACTCCAGCTCCAGGGATCTGCTACCCTCTTCTGGCCCCCAAGAGTACCTTCATTCATGCACACATACACAAATTCAGATGCACATGCAAATGCATAATTCAAAATATATTTTCTACTTGCCGGGTGGTGGTAGCATACGTCTTTAAACCCAGCACTTAGGAGGCAGAGGCAGGCAGATCTCTGAGTTCAAGACCAGTCTGGTCTGCAAGACCTAGTTCCAGGACAGTCTCCAAAGAAACTATATAAATATGTATATACATATGTATATGCATATACGTAATACTATATGTATTTGCACTGCCACTCATCTCCTGTTTCTTGTCTGGTCAGCAGAGCTGATGCTAACATCTGGACAGCACTGGGAACCATGCCAGCAGCACTGGCACCTACAAACCTGGCACCTTAAGGACTCGGCACAGCAGCACACCGACAAGATGGGCAGAACCACTGGACCTGGTGTGGCATGAGACCAGCAGCAACAGCAGATGGCAACTGCACAGTTGCAGCAACACAGGAATTAGTGACCTGAGTGGTAGATGTCATCACAGAAGATACAAAGAGAAATGCCAAAAGAGACTGTTTCAAGAAAACCAGCAGCATTAAGATATTGACTGAATTATTGGCTGTATAAGCTCAATCTACTTGACTTTTTAATGCAGTTGACAGAGTCGCCAGTAAAGCATGTTGTTCTGCTCTTGCCTTCTTTTTATATTCCAATGAACAATTATTAAAGTAGGAGTGTCTTCTTACTGCAGATATCTAAAGAATATATACTGCCCTTACTTAAAAAAGAAAACCAGTAGCTCCAGTCTCATAAATACATGAAACCAACCCTAGAAATTACGTTACTGCTAAAGGTAAATGAAGTAGGTTACAGGTTGTTGACATCCCACAAAGGTGACCACGGTGGAAACTTTCCTGTGACCCTGGTTACTCCAGCCTGCAGAGCACAGGCTGGCACTACGGTACCATACCTCTCAGCAAAGCCATCCATTTGGAAGAAATCATGGTGTAGAAGGTCAGCACAGAAGGGCCTTTTGTCCGGGTCGATATGCAAGCATTTCTGAAAAATCAAGAACACATATGAGTCTTCTTCAAGAGCAGCTTTCTACATTTAGATTTCTTCTTTCTAGCCAATGAACAGAATAAAGCACAAATCACAATAGTGACCATCAGTGGTTTTATGTCACAAAAAGAGACCCAGCATCCAGTGTCTGTGGGTGTAAATTAATGCATAAATTCCTAAGAAGCAGTCTTTCCAAGAAATAAATTTAAAATTATCTGAGGAAGCTGTTGACCTAAAAGATCAAGGAGGGAGGGAGGGAGGGAGAGAGAGGGGGGCACATACATGAACCAAGTCTCCAGACTATACAAGTTTCCTATAACAAAGAATTACCTTTGCTAAATTTATCACAACTTCAGGGAGCTTGGGATAACGGTTCTCGAGGGGTTCTGTTTCTGTGTCTTTAATCTCAGGCAATCTTACTCCGGCAAACACAGGGTTTTTATAAAACAGCTCCTGGTGTCTTGGAATTAAATTACCTGGGGAGAAAACCAGCACCCGCCTTCGTCAGTACGGACGACAGAAACGGTGAAGAGACAGACGGCATAGGGAAACAGTGAAGACAGCTAGTGGACAGTGGGACTCTCTCAGCATGCAAGATCAACCTAGACAGACCGTTACTGTAAAGGCACTGGGAAGTCTTCATAGTGGGCTTGACACAAGTCAGCTCAAGAAAATGAACACTGCTTTTGTAACATATCTATCTAGAAAATTAAATACATGTCCAAGCGGAATACTTGTGAAGACACAGGACGGACAGGTGGAGGACAGTTTATGCCACTCTAGATGAAACACTGCTAACAGTAAAAAGGTATCACATGCCCAAAACAATGACGACAGAGTCACACAGGCAGAATCTAACTATATAAACCAGTTCTTCCCTAAGAGAATTGAATATTTATTCAACAGATTGTGTCCCTGTATCAAAATTCAAATTTGAGAATTTTAACCTTTTTCTCAACTTTAATACCTATTAGATCATGAGCTATATAATTGAAAAAGTTAAATCTTATAAAAGTTTTATTATACTAGTACACTGTAAATACTATATAAGTACAATATTGAGGAAACAGCGAAAAGAATGCAACCTCTCTATTCTTCCTCCCTCCTCCCTGTGACACAGCAGTAATACGAAAATTCTACTGTAAGAAATCATATAATACTTAAATTCTTAATCTCAGAACTTAAAACCAAATAATTAAATTACCCCAAGTGTCTTCCTATCATTTCTATTTTAAAAGCTATCTTAAAATATAAATTTTATATTCCAACAAATGTGAGGCTCAGAGTCAAGTCTAGCCCTGGAATTTCATACACAGCACCAAGAATGACAGACAAAATCTAGGGAAGCTATGCATGGTGATGCGCATCTGCAGTCACGGGCATGGGCACAGTGATGCACATCTGCAGTCATGGGCATGGGCACGGTGATGCACATCTGCAGTCACGGGCATGGTGATGCACATCTGCAGTCATGGGCATGGTGATGCACAGCTGCAGTCACAGGCACGAGCACAGTGATGCGCATCTGCAGTCACAGGCACGGGCACAGTGATGCACATCTGCAGTCATGGGCATGGTGATGCACAGCTGCAGTCACAGGCATGGTGATGCACATCTGCAGTCACAGACATGGGCACGGTGATGCACATCTGCAGGCATGGGCATGGTGATGCACATCTGCAGTCACAGGCATGGGCATGGTGATGCACATCTGCAGTCACGGGCATGGTGATGCACATCTGCAGTCACAGGCATGGGCAGAGTAATGCACATCTACAGTCACAGGCATGAGCACGGTGATGCACATCTGCAGTCACAGGCATGGTGATGCACATCTGCAGTCACGGGCATGGTGATGCACATCTGCAGGCACAGGCATGGTGATGCACATCTGCAGTCACAGGCATGGGCAGAGTAATGCACATCTGCAGTCACAGGCATGGGCACGGTGATGCACATCTACAGTCACGGGCATGGTGATGCACATCTGCAGTCACAGGCATGGGCAGAGTAATGCACATCTACAGTCACAGGCATGGGCACGGTGATGCACATCTGCAGTCACGGGCATGGTGATGCACATCTGCAGTCACAGGCATGGGCAGAGTAATGCACATCTACAGTCACAGGCATGGGCACGGTGATGCACATCTGCAGTCACGGGCATGGTGATGCATATCTGCAGTCACGGGCATGGTGATGCACATCTGCAGGCACAGGCATGGTGATGCACATCTGCAGTCACAGGCATGGGCAGAGTAATGCACATCTACAGTCACAGGCATGGGCACGGTGATGCACATCTACAGTCACGGGCATGGTGATGCACATCTGCAGTCACAGGCATGGGCAGAGTAATGCACATCTACAGTCACAGGCATGGGCACGGTGATGCACATCTGCAGTCACGGGCATGGTGATGCACATCTGCAGTCACGGGCATGGTGATGCACATCTGCAGTCACGGGCATGGTGATGCACATCTGCAGGCACAGGCATGGTGATGCACATCTGCAGTCACAGGCATGGGCAGAGTAATGCACATCTGCAGTCACAGGCATGGGCACGGTGATGCACATCTGCAGTCACGGGCATGGTGATGCACATCTGCAGGCACGGGCATGGACATGGTGATGCACATCTGCAGTCACAGGCCTGGGCACAGTGATGCACATCTGCAGTCACAGGCATGGGTACAGTGATGCACATCTGCAGTCACAGGCATGGGTACAGTGATGCACATCTGCAGTCACAGGCATGGGTACAGTGATGCACATCTGCAGTCACAGGCATGGGCACAGTGATGCACATCTGCAGTCACAGGCATGGGTACAGTGATGCACATCTGCAGTCACAGGCATGGGTACAGTGATGCACATCTGCAGTCACAGACACGGGCACAGTGATGCACATCTGCAGTCATAGCCTTGGGAAGCTGAGGTAGTAAAGACTGAGAGGCTTAGGCAGAAGGATGGAGAGTTTGGAGCTATCCTGGGCTATATAGTGAGACCCTGGTCTCAGAAAACGGAAGACAAAAATAAAATTCAAATGCATGACATTACAATATCCCATAAGTTTCTGTGTCTCTCATTTTATCCTAGAAATGAAGATGAAGGAAATAGCTGGATTTCACCACATGCTCACCGACTCAATAGGTAAAAAGTGATGATTACATCATCTCTGTCCGGGGTGGGCTGGAGGTGAGTATGATTCAGAACAAGGCTCAGGGATTGTAATGCTTGCTGAATAATTATGAATTCTCACTACACTACTTTGTTATAATTCTTGCAGCCCTTTAAAATCAGCAGTGACTTTGAGCAACTTTAAGGTAGTTTGATTGCATGCTAATATATTCTTTGTTAAGATGATTTTTAAATTTTCCTGTCTATTAGATTTATGACTATTTATCTTCAGCAACCACCTCCTTTTCTCTTACACTGATCAGCCTGGCTAGAGACTTAGAGGGTATGCATATGCACATGCATGTGCATACATACACTTGTGTGTGTTTTCCTGTGTGCATATGTGCATGCATATATGTGTGTACATGTGTGCTGTGTGTGTATATATGTGTGTACATATGTATGTGTGTTTTCTATTTACTCCCTACCTTCACCTAAAATAAGTATCACCTTTAATACACAAACAATGTTAAGTAGCAATAAAAACACATACAGGAAAAAACTGTAAAATATGAATCACAGATGTATATCTTACCTAAACATGTCATAATATGATGCAGCTGATCAATATCAGATTCTCCCGGAAATAGGGGTTGCCCCATGAGCATTTCAATGACCAGACAGCCAATGGCCCAGACATCAACAGCCCTGGAATAAAAAAGGTGATGTAAGATGTGGCTTCCTGACACCTTTCCTGTGCCTGCATCTTCTTGCTACTGAGAGGCACAGTAGCAAATCTTGTCACTTAAACTTATTTCTCTATAAGAATTCTAACCCAGGTGTTGGTAGCGCACGACTTTAATCCCAGCACTTGGGAGGCAGAGGCAGGCGGATCCCTGTGAGTTCAAGACGAGCCTGTTGTATGTATAACGTTCCAGCACAGCCAGGGCTGTTACAAAGAAAAGAAAACTGTCTCAAAAACAAACAAACACACAAGAATTCTAACCCTTGTTGGGCAGTGATAGCGCATACCTTTAATCCCAGCTCTTGAGAGCCAGAAGCAGGCAGAACTTTGTGAGTTTGAGGCCAGCCTGATCTACAGAGTGAGTTCCAGGACAGGCTCCAAAACTACACAGAGAAACCATGTCTGGAAAAAAATTCTAACCCTCTATTTTAATAAGTGAGAAACTTCAACCATCTGACATTAAAGGAGAAAGATTCTGAGAAGCCACACTTGTTACGTGTATGCTATTCTGAAAATAAGACTCTCTGGGCGCCCAGTCACCCTCCATTTCTACATTGCTCACTCTAACAAGGTTGTCAGTGACGCCTTTAGTACACTAAAAAAAAAAGCACAGTAGAAAAAAGAAGTAGTCACTGACAACAGAGTAACAACAAGAACTGAAAGCTAACAGAAAGGAAAGAAAAAATTAAAACTATCTTAACAATTATTCAGAACTAAATTAGCATGTCAGCATAGAGCCAGCTACTTTGAAGTTGCCCAATCATTGCTGAATTATAAAATACTACAAAAATTATAACAGTGAAGTAAAATGAGAACGCAGGATAATTCAAAAAAGATTACTAGATATCTAATGTACTCAAAAATTACAGAAAATATTTTAGGAAAAATTTCTGTCAAAAATAAAATTCATAGTCTTTGAAGAGTTCATTTATAAAGACAATTTACATTTTAAAAATCTTTAAATAAGGTTTTTTACCCTCATGTTGCCTACTCTACCTCGTATTATAATTATAAGCCTTCTCTAATCAATATTAACTTCTATTTACAGATTATAAACATTACTTTTAATTAAATTATGTGCATGTGTGTGGCTGAATATACTTAAGTGCAGGTGTCCAAGGAGACCAGAGGCGTCAGACCCTCATGAGCCGCCCAGTATGGGTGCTGGGAACTCAGGTGCCCTCTGTACTCTCTTAACCCCTGGGCCATCTCTCCAGACACTAACAAATATATTTCTTTATGACCATTAAAATTACTCAGCTTTCCCTTTAAAGTAAGTACAACTACCCCAAGTTGTATGCAAGCTTTTCATTGGTTTGTTCTGACAGCTGGTGGAATAAAACCAGGATCTCACTGTCCCAGGCAAGGACTCCACCACTGAGCCACCTAGTCCTCAAAGGAATTTTTAAAAAGAATTTCCAAAGAGAAAGCACTAGGGATTGTTACAAACCCCTCACTAAACGCTGAGCCCAGACCTCCCTTCCAGTGTTCAGTGGATCATTTGTTACACAGGCATCCCACTTTCGAAGAGTCAGCCTCTATGCCCTCATTCCTGACTCTTACTTGCCGTACTTGACATCACCAACCAGCAGTTCTGGAGCTCGGTACCATCGGGTGGCCACGTAGTCAGTGTAGACCTCTCCAGGTGCTGCCAATGTCCGTGCAAATCCAAAGTCACATAATTTTACAACACCAGACTGAGAGACTAATATATTCTCTGGCTTTATATCTCTGTGTATGATCTAAGACCAAAAAAAAAAAAATAAGACCACAGACCATAAAATATGTTAAACCAATTAAGTTGGGAAGGCAGTGCCTGCCATGAGCAGGGCACCAATGCTTGTTCCTGTAAGAGTAGACAGAGCACATACAAAGTTATTCTGGGGCTTAAAGCCTTGCGACCTAGTGGGACAAAAGAGAACATCGTGTTTCAAGTGTTAGTTGAAACAGCAAAGACATTAAGTAAAATATATAGCATCAACCCACAAATCAACTTTCAGTCAGTTACTAATATCAGGCTAAGGAATAACTCTGTCGTTGAAGACTAGGGGCAGTTAAGGAGACTTTTTTATGGACGAGGTAAACTTTATGATAGGTTTTTAATACAGTACTACGCTAGCAAACACTTGATCACATGTGTGTCAAGCCCTACAAGAAGTTTTACATACTTTAACTTATTTTACCACTCATTAACCCTGAAATAGGTGCTAGGGTAGTTTCTACTTACAGAGGGCTGGGAATGGTAGTAGAAGTGCAGAAGTCTGAGGAGAAAGTGGAGTACAGGACAATTTGAGAGTGGAATAGGAGAAACTAGTGTGCCTGTCAGGAAATGCTAATACTTTGATTAGAGTGAGGTCAGTTCTGTCATCAAAAATGAACATTTCTTTTTTCATAACTGATTTGCCATCAGAACACCATCAATACAAAGACAAAATGGGAAAGGAAAAGACTCATGGCAACACCATCATCACTGGACACGTGGAGTCAGACAAACTACAGGACTGGCCATCTGATGGATGAGTGCGGGGGAACTGACAAACACACCACTGAGAAGTTTGGGAAGGAGGCTGCTGAGACAAGAGAAGGCTCCTTCAAGTACGCCTGGGTCTGGGACAAACTGAAAGCTGAACGTCATCTCCCTGCAGAAATCTGAGAGAGAGCATCAAATACTATGTGACTCTCTCTGGTGCCCCAGGACACCGAGAATTAACCAAAACAGGATTACAGGCCCAATTCAGGATGACTGTGTTGTCCTGATCATTGCAGCTGATGTTGGTGAACTTGAAGGTGGTATCTCCATAACGGGCAGCCCCGTGAGCATGCCCTTCTGGCTTACACATTGACCATCAAGTAGTTCATTATCTGTATCAACAAAATGAACTCCACTGAGCCACCCTACAGCCAGAAAAGATGGGAGGTCATTGTTAAGGAAATCAGCACCTATATTAAGAAACATGGTTACAACCCTGACACAGTAGCATTTGTATCAATTTCTGGTTGGAATGGTGACAACATGCTGAGCCAAGTGCCGCAGCAGCCTTAGTTCAAGGGATGGAAAGTAGCCCAGAAAGATGGCAGTGCTGGTGGGCCCACACTGAGGGAAGCTCTGGTTCCAACTAACCAGTCTTTACACCTGCCCCGCCAGGATGTCTATAACGTTGGTGGCATTGTCACTATCCCTGTGGTCAAGTGAAGACTGGTGCTCTCAAACCTGGCAGGGTGGTGACCTTGCTTCAGTGAGTGTCACAACAGAAGCAGTCTGCTGTAATGTACCATGAAGCTTTGAGTGAAGCTCTTCCTGGGGACAATGCGGGGCCCCCGTGTTAAGAATGTGTTTGTCAAGTATGGTAAACATGGCAATGTTACTGGTAACAGCAAAAATGACCCTCCAGTCGAAGCAGCTGGCTTCACTGTCCAGGTGACTATCCTGGACCACCCAGGGCCAAATCAACGCTATGCGCCTATACTGGATTGTCATACAGCTCATAGCTTGTAAGCTTGAGGAACTTAAAGAAAAGAGTGGCATGTGTAAACAATATTCTTCAACAGAAACCATCTCAATGACAACCAAGTGTAGTGGTACATGGCTTTAATCCCAGCACTCGGGAGGCTGAGGCAGGCAGATCTCTGAGTTGGAGGCCAGCCTGGTCTACAGAGTGAGATCCAGGACAGAGAGAGAGAGAGAGAGAGACCCAGCCAGCCAGCCAGCCAATTATACTGTACACTGACTTCATTGGTCATAGGCTCACTGGGAAGAAACGGTTTTGTTTTTTTGTTTGTTTCCGTCTGCTTATTTTTAATTATTTCTTTTAATTTTTGAAACTATAAGTATATAATTTCTCTTTTACCTTTGTTTTCCCTGATGCCTCCATTATTCCTCTTTGCCCTCTTTCAAATTTGGAGCCCCTTTAACATTAATTGGGGTGTGTGTGTGTTCCTTTTCTTTTGGGGGGTTGTTTTTGTTGTTGTTGTGTTGCTTTGGTTTGTTTCAAGACAGAGTTTCTCTGTGGCTTTGTAGTCTGTCCTGAAACTTGCTTTGTAGACCACCTTGGCCTGGAACTCACAGAGATCCGCCTGCCTCTGCCTCCCAAGTGCTGGGATTAAAAGCATGCACCACCACACCTGCTTAGTTCATATACTGTCACTTACATGTATTTTTCATAACTGACCATTTGATATTGGAGAAGTTATCTTTTCATTAGAAGAATTCATCAATGTCTCTGACAATAACTGGCAGTTAGTCCTGATTGTCACCTTTGGCTGTGTGTATAAGGTCAGCTTCTGATATATTTAACTAAAGTAAGACACATCCCGAATGTGGGGGGCACCATTCCATGGGCTGGGGTCCTGGCCTGAATCAAGGGGGAGCAAGCAGGTTGAGCACCAGCTTACTTCTCTCCTGCTGTCACGCAATGTGATCTCCCATTCCTGCCCCCAAGACTTCCCTGCCATGATGAACTGGACCCTCAAATGTGAACCAGATCAACCCTTCATTCCTTAAGTTGTTTTGGCTAGATATTATTTCACAACAATGAGAAAAATTACTAATATGTTAACGCTTCATACTGATTCAATTTTCTGCATATCCAATGTTATTATTATTCTTCATGTAGTCTATTCCTGTGACAACATATTTCTGATTTATTATTAATCTGGCATTCAGTTTAGCTTGATTAATGTGAATATTCATGATAAAAAAAAAAGCGTCAAAGCTGGACTTCTCAAAAATCAATTTTCTGAGACAGGATCATTGATTTAGGAGATTCATAAGGAAAGTCAATCCGAACTAAACTAGATGTCTCTACTGAATAATTAATATATACACATACACATATAAGTCATCCTGACTTATATACTCTAACTACATAATGGGGGTAGACAACAATATCCCAAAAACTGAAGATGATAAATAAGAAAGAGAAAACAGCCAAATGTTCAGGTAGCTATTTTCTCTTTTACTTATTATTTATTTATGCTTCAGTATGATATAGGTCATGTGTATGAACATGTCAGTGAAGACCAGAAAAGGGCGTCAGATCTCATGAAGCTGGAATTTTAGGTGATTTTTGAGCCACCTGATACAAGTGCTGGACACCCAATGTAGGGCCTCTGGAAGAGTAGCAAGCATTCATAACTGTGACACCATCTCTCCAGTCCCTACTTATATATCTGCTGAGAGAAGAGTCTCATGTAAGCTGACCTCCAAGTTGCTACTTAACCAAGGTTGGCTTCTACTGTCCCGGTCTCTACCTCCCAAGTGTTGGGATTCCTGAAACACAGTACAATACCTGGTTTATGGTGCTTGAAATCAAACCCGGGGTTTTGCACATACTAGGCAAGCACTCTACCAGTTGTCTTCAGTTCTCAAACTATATACCACTATCACTCATGATGACTGTAATCACAAAAGGCTATTATATAAAATATTTTCTAAAAAAATATGTTGGGTTATTCATTTTATGCACTATAGGTGCTATTTTTTTTTCTGAAGGTGCTTTTCTATGGCATCCAAAAAAAAGAAAGAAAAGAAAAAATTGCTACAGACTAGATGAGAAGAACAGAGATTTTCATACTCTTGTATTTTACAAGTAGGCAAGAAAGCATGAATCAGAAAAATATAGTTCCTTGGTACATACTTCAAATTTACCTATTCCACTCAACAAATGTTATGTTAAAAAGAATAAAAATCATAAATGAACAAAAAATAAGTCTAGTTTATAAGCCAAGTATTTCATATTTTAGCATTCTGGGGGGCTAGAGAGATAGCTCAGTGGGTAAAGGCACTTGTGACCAAACATGACAACCTAAAGCAAATTCCCCAGACCTACATTGTAGAAGACTACTGACTCCTGCAAGTTATACTCTGACATGTAGACTGTGTCAACTGGTATACAAAAGTATACTGATCTCTGCAACTTACTTTAAAATACATATTACAGATTAATAAATTAATGAATGAACAAAGATTATAAAATTAGTTCACAGACTATAATACTTATTAAGTAACTCCAGAAAACTGTTAAACACATAACATAGCTAGTGAGAATAGGGTGTCTATTGTGTACCCTTTCAACTTTCAGTAGGGCCTACCATTGTTTTTAGAAATACCACTTTTTAGAAAATCTTCATGTGTCATATATTATGACACATAAAAATCAGCAATATCAGAGTAATATAAATCATTTCGGGTATGGTACTGAGTTAATATTATCAAGACAGTGAAAGATTGGCAAAATAGGCATCATACCTAATACTTACATTGTGACTGTGGCAAAATCCAATTCCATTAATAATCTGAAACAAATATTTTTGAACTACTTGATAGTCTAGTCCATTTGGAAATAGTTTCAAGTCATCAAGAACCGTGTGGTCAACAAATTCAAAGACTAGGTACCAACGTTTTTTTTTCTTACATACTTCCAACAGATTCACCAAATTTTCATGCCTCAGTTGCTGTTATAAAAAATGCAAAATAATTTTAGGTCAAATTATGAGCAATTAAATACTATTTAAAAGATGCTACTATAAGAAAATATATAAATAAAATGCATGAACAGTGCATACTGTAAATGTCTATTCAAGTTCTAAAATAACAGTCAAATAGCATATTGTTTCCTCTCTTCTCAGAGAACACAATAAAGCCAACAAGAAAAAGAAATAATAACAAGCAACCCTAGCACTGAATGTCACAAAAGACTAGCAAAGGAAGAAAGACAGTAACAACCACACAGAGACACTTGCTGGAAAGAATCTATCAAACAAGTAAAAAGTTTCATTAGGAAAAAATCAGAAATTACAAATTCAGAGAAATTAAGGCTAACAGAATTCAATTCTATACTCAGCCCTATGATAAAAAGAAATGATTACAAAACAATGGGAGATTTCTGTTACCACCGGCAAAATCCTGTCCTCTCACCTAAATGAACCTCTTACTGATAGGTGCTCCAAAGGTACCATATTATCATAAAATTAAAACATTCACGGAGCTGAGGGCACAGCTCAGTAACAGGTAACTTGCCTAACATGCCGAGTCCTGGGCTCATCTCTAACATGAAAGAGGAAGGAAGAAAGAGGGAGGGGGGGACAGACGAAAGGGTTAGGAATTACTCCAAGATCTGTCCAACAATGCTATGTAAAAAGAGTAAGACATCCGGGCGTTGGTGACTCACGCCTTTAATCCCAGCACTCAGGAGGCAGAGGCAGGCGGATCTCTGTGAGTTCGAGACCAGCCTGGTCTACAGAGCGAGTTCCAGGACAGCCTCCAAAACAATACAGAGAAACCCTGTCTCGAAAAACCAAAAAATAAAAAAAAAAGTAAGACAAATAGCAGGTTGACACTTATCAAATATAAATAAAAAAGTGTTGCCACCTTTAAAAGGAAGAAATCATTAGAATATGTGATCTAGTAATATGATTGTCTCTCAAACTGTATTTAAGTAAAAAAGAAAGGAGGGCAATTTTGAAAATGGACAACTTCTCAATTTCATATAGAAACAAACCTTATCAAACATGGGCATCATGGCTATGAAACAGAAAGTATACATTTAATTTTATTTTTACTTTTTGAAGCAGTCTCTATTACATAGGTCTGGCTATCCTGGGGTTCAATACACAGACCAGGCTGGCCTCAAACTCATAGAGATCCACCTGCCTCCGCCTCCGAAGTGATGGGATTAAAGGCTTGTGCTACCGTAACACCTGGCTATAAATCTTTACTTTTAAGAAACAGCTAATTTTTCACGGGAACACTGAGACAATAGAACAATAGAGTCAGATTTTGAACATTAATGTAATTAACTTCAAGAATTCTGTTTTCTGTGGATATAGTTTTTTTTAATAACAAAGTAGAACAAAAGAATTGTTTCAGACTAACAAAAATGAACAGCATTCCTTGCTAACATATCTGTTTTAAAGAAATTAAAGGATTTAGTGCTTTGCTTTCATTTTCTTTTTAGGCAGAGGTTCAAGTAGTCTTTATCCTCTTGGATCAGCTTCCCATGTGCTGGGACTGTAAACATGGGCCACTAGGATTGGCTAAAGAATTTATTTTTAGCCAATTTATTATTACCTGGGAAAAGGATCCCAGATAAGAGGCTGAGAAACAGAGAGAACATGGAAGAGTAAAGCAAACAATGAATCTTAATATATCCCAATAAATGCCAAGTATAAATGTCTAACAATATAGAGATTTAAATTACATAAGAGTAATAACACATATATCTCTTGTAAGGGAAAAGGGATGAAAAGGAGGGAGTAAGTACTGTAACAGCAGCCCAGAACAAAGCAGACACTGAGAGTTAGTACAACTGACTCCATGATAGAAGTACCATCCAGGCTGTAAAACTCAGCATGTAGACAGCACCACCTGCCAGAACTGAAACAAAGTCCTAATCCATCCAAGTCCATAGTTCTGGGAAAGTCTCTAAATGAACTAAGCTTGCTTTTTGGCTTCTGTAGTTCTGCTTCTGTCTAACTATTCTTGTTAGCTGGAGTATGTCAACCAAGGACATGGTTTTGAGCTTAAAAGCTCACCATGGGAAAGGCTTGGGGTTACGCTGGAATCCCCAACACCCAGTGTAGTTGCTAGTTGGCTAATAAAGACTTCCTATTGGCTTAAACCTGTGTCCAAGCAGTCTTCTCTGGTAACCACCCCTCAGCAAGTGCAGTTAAAATGTCTAAGAATCCTCATTGAAAAAGCAGCCATTTGGGGTATTAGTAAGTTAAGGTAGTATAGTATTTCATATAATTGCCAAAGGAGTGACAAAAGAATAAATGATAAAAGAATTGAAGAAACAGTATGAAAGGCAACAGGAAGCTACCAAATAGAAATCTAGATATATGATTAATAGTATCAAGTGTATGTTCTATGGAGAATGATTTGTGATGGTCATGCATTTGGTTTGGAATGAGTGAGCCTATTAACTATATAGCAAAGATAAAACAACAAATCGTCACACACACACAGCAGGTAGATAGAAATAGCAGATAGCAAAACATCTTCAAATCAGGCACTTACAACACCAGCAGAAACCAGCTAAAGCAACCAGCTGGAGTTCCCAACTGAGGAACATTGTTCATGGCTATACATGGGTTATTATTTCATAGTTTAAAAGGCATTTTAAAAATACTGCAAAGAAGCAATTCAATAACTGAGTCTGATGATCTACTGACAAGAGAATCTTTTAGTTAAATGATGAATCATAATAATCATTGCCAAAGATTGCACAGGTAGGCAAATACATGTTGGGGGGAGGCGTGCAAATTAGGAGAGTCAGTAAGGAAAAGTTAAATATGCTAATTGGAGCCCAAACACTAGAAAGGGAATGGACTAGAATGATAAATACTAATGATTTTCTAAGCAGGCTAAATTAAAAGATATCCACACTGGATGCACCATAGTAGGGGCTGGAGAGATGGCTCAGTGGTTAAGAGCACTGGCTGCTCTTCCAGAGGTCCTGAATTCAAATCTCAGTACCCATATGGTGGCTCACAACCATTTATAGTGGGATCTGATGCCTTCTTCTGGCATAAAGACATACATGCAGATAGAGCACTGGTATACATAAAATAAGCAAATAAATCTGAAAAAGAAACATCATAGTAAAACTACTCAAAAGGGGGAAGTAAGGCTTGAGATTGGTCAGGTTAGAGCACTGGCTACTCTTCAAAGGATCTGGGCTCAATTCCCAGCATCCACATGGTGGCTCATAATCATCTGTAACTCCAGTTCCAGGAAATCCAGTGTTTCTTCTGACTTCTGCTGGTAAGACACACATGTACACACACATATACACACACACTACACACACACAAATGAAAAACACCCATAAATTTAAAAGAAAAATAAATCTTAAAACACACACACACACACACACACACACACACACAAAGAAAACCACTGGGCATGGTAGCACACACCTTTAATCCCAGCACTAGAGAGGCAGAGGCAGGTGGATCTCTGTGAGTTCAGAGGCCAACCTGGTCTACGAAGTGAGTTACCAAACAGCTAGGGCTACTACATAGAGAAACCTGTCTTGAAGAACAAAAAAATCCTCAAATAGAAAAAAATATAAATAGCTAAAACCAAAGAGACAATGCAAGTAAGCATTATACCTGGCAGATTCAGAATCTCTTGTTCTCACCAGGGGAGGGAGGTGGCAGTGACCAGAGAATGATCAGGAAGGTTGCTGGGGTGGTATTCTTATAAAATGTTATTTGTGTGACATGTGTGAGTATATATATGTGTGAGCATGTGTGTACAGGAGTCAGCTTTCTCCTCCCACCATGTGGGGCCTGGGGACTGAACTCAGGTTCTCAGGCTTGGCAGCAAGCGCCCTTACCAACTGAGCCATCTCACTCACTCTAGAGTGATTCTGATTTCTCCTTTTCTTCATTTACATGCTGGTTACATGCGCTTATTCAGATTCACTTTTGTTGAGACAGGGTCTCATATAGCTCTGGCTGTAGACCAGGCTGACCTCGAACTCAGAGATCTGCCTGCCTCTGCCTCCTGAGAGCTGGTATTAAAGGCCTTTGTCACCATTCTTATGCTATATATTATCATATATAAGTGCTTTTCAAGGACTCTAAGTCAACAAAAATTGAGAGAAAAAAACACCCAGATGTTGGACTGGCAAGATGGCCAAATCCTTAATAAAACCCCTGGGTGCTGAGTTCCTAATGAATTGTCTATGTAGGCATTATTTCATGTGTTGTCAGGGCTCGATGCTAGAAGGAATTAGCCATCCTTTGTGACTCCACTGGGAGAGGATTATTCTCTTGGAAGCTTGTCTGGGTTTCCTCTCAATTTCAGCCCTTGTAGCTCTTCCCTGTGCTGGTTTGCATATGGTCTCTCCAAAGCCACTAGGACAACTGTTTGCTGAGGAATGAATCCTGCTCTGATGGTCTTTGGGATCCCCAGAACTGGATGACTGGCGGACAGATGCAGAGAAAAGAAATATTTTAAGAATCATTTACATCTACTACATAAGTGGGTAATTATTTGTTTCTTCTTATTGAATTTGGATTTCAGGGGTTGTTGTTGCTTGTTGAGACATGGTTTCTCTACATAGCCCTGGCTGACCTGGAACTTGCTATGTAGACCAGGCTGGATAATAGAGTATTTTCTCTAAATTTGCCAAATACAAATAGACTGGATATTGTAACTGGAACTCTTATTTGATAACTGTTTTGTTGTATATAGTTTTACTATGTTAAAGTAAAACCTTCCTTTTCATTAGACAAAAAGGTGGAAGTGTTATAGAGCAATCTTTTTGTACACTGTGAATATGTGTTGCTCTCACTGGTTTAATAAAGGGCTAAATGACCAATAGCTAGGTAGATAGAGGTTAGACGGAACTTTCGGACAAAAAGAAAGCTCGAGGATGAAGTCTCAAGAGACACAAAGAGAAGGAAGATGAGCATGCTGTACTGAGATAAAGTACTGCCACATGACAGAGTGCAGATAAGAAATATGGCTTGTCAAGCATGGTGGCACACACCTTTAATCCTAGCATTTGGGAGGAAGAGACAGGCAGATCTCAATAAGTTCTAGGCCAATCTGGTCTACAAAGTGAGTTCCAGGACAGCCAGGACTGTTACACAGAGAAACCCTGTCTCAAAAAAAAAAAAAAAAAGAAAAAGAAAAAAAGAAAAGAAAAAGAAAGAAAGATGGTTAATTTAAGTTTTAAGAGCTAGTTAGTAACAAGCTAAGTTATCGGCCACGCGCGCGCACACACACACACACACAAACCACAGGGATATTTTCCTTCAAATTTAATGCAATCCTGAACAATCTTTTGAGCTGGATGCATGCACTTACCTTTAGTAACTTGATTTCTCGCATAGCGATTTTCTTAACCATTTTGTCATCATCGCTCTCTAAGAACTTCTTAATAGCCACAATTCTTCCACTGTCTTTGTTCCTACACTTCATCACCATTCCATAACTCCCTTCTCCAACCAATCCTAGGTTCTCATATTTTTCCATTTTGATTTAAAACCAGTAGGAATTTCTCTTGCTGTGGGAATCAAAGCATAGCATTAACGACGTTGAGTGTGTCCATTTTGTTCAGTCTTCCAGCAAATTCACTCCTGTGAAATTGTTTCCCTTGTTACAGCAAGTCACTACCTTCGAAGCGGTCTATGCTATCACGATTTCTTACCATTCCTACACTAAGCTAGGCTTTCAAAATGGTTATACATTTTAAAATAAATAATGTAAAGGCCACTAACTTTACATTTAAATTGCATAGATTCATATTAACAAATTAAATTTATTTATAATTATATGAAGCAACAAGCTATCATTCAAAACAATTACAGATCACAAAGTACAGTCCTTTTCCCTTCAGATGCAAAGGGTACACCTGAATTTGGTTTTCATGAAAATCAAAATATTTTATGCTGGGGCTGGAGACTCAGCAATTGAGAACATGCACTGCTCTTCCAGAGGACCTGGAGTTTGGTTCTCAAAACCCTCACAAAGGATCACAATCTGCCATAACTCCAGTTTCAGGGGACCCAACACCCACTTCTGGCCTCTACAAGCATTAGAGACAGGTATGCATATTGGTGCACATACATATAAACATAGAAAACACTCATACAAATAAAATAAAAACAGATAAGTCTACTAGGCATGATAGTACATGCCTTTAATGCCAGCTCTTGGGAGACAGGAGCAGGCAAATCTCTGTGAGTTTAAGGCCAGCCTGATCTAAAGAGGATTCCAGAACAACAGGGTTATATAGAAAGACCCTGTCCCAAAACCAAAAATGAAGACAAAACAAAATAAATCTTAGAAAAATTTTATACCAGATTCAAAAAATCCAAAGTGAAACCTTCATGTACTTTTCACTTAATTATAAAGAAATTATCATGCCAGGCAGTGGTGATGAATGCCTTTAATCCCAGCTATCAGGAAGCAGATTTGCAGACGGATCTCTGTGAATTTGAGGCCAGCTCCATCTACAGAGCTAGTTGCAGGACAGTCATGGCTTCAAAGAGAAACCCTGTCTCCAAGAAGAAAAACAAAATCACAACACTGATTCAAGGCTAAATCTTTGATAAATTTTCTCTCCTTTTCTTTTGCTTTTAGTGCATTGGTGTTTTCTTGCATGTATGTCTGTGTGAGGGTGTCAGATCCCCTAGAATTGGAATTACAGGCAGTTGTGAGTTGCCATGTAGATGCTGGGAATTGAATCTTTGAGGTCCTTTGGAAGAGGAACCAGTACTTTGTTTTGTTTTTGAGACCGGGTTTCTCTATGTAGCTCTGGCTATCCTACAACTCACTTTGTAGACCAAGCTGGCCTCAAACTCACAGAGATCCACCTGTCTCTGCCTCCCAAGTGCTAGGATTAAATGAGTGTGCTACCAGAGCCAGGATCCACCCAGTGCTTTTAACCAATGAGTCATCTTTCAAGCCCCTTCTTTGCTTTCCTTATAGAACTGACTAAATTATTAAACTTAAATCACTTAAATTTTGTAGACATGATTTTTACCTATCTCATTATGCCATTTTCTGAAAAGTCAACCACAAATAGAATCTTATTTTACAATAATTGATGAAAATCCAGTAATCATTTTTTTCATATTGCATATTGTAATACAGAAAAATCATTAATTTCGGCAGAGGTGGCACATGCCTTTAATCCCAGCGCTTGGGAGGAAGAGGCAGGTGGATCTCTGTGAGTTCGAAGCCAGCCTGGTATACAGAGTGAGTTCCAGAACAGGCTCCAAAGCTACACAGAGAAATCCTGTCTTGGAAAACAAAACAAAAAACCTAAAAAACAAACTCCCCCCAAACCAAAATCATTATTTTAAGGCTATAATGTGGCTCAGTGATAGAATATGTGCTTAGGGTGGATGTGAATATATATTTTTATTTAAAATATATATATAATTCACTTGACTCTGAATCTTAAGTACTGGCATTAAAGGAGTATGCCCCCATGCTCGGCATAAATTTTATTTATTTTTTAAATATGGTTTTTGAAATTTAAATTCCAGTGGCCATGAATAAAAGAACATTTCTTCAGATCCTGTTTTGGTTTCAACAGGGGTTTGGAAGGGATTAAACATTAGCTAAGTTTATATTCAAATGACTAATAGTTGAATTCTTAAAGCCTGATCATCCCAAACCATTGGAATGAAAACAATTCTTTCTTCTTAATATTCATTGAGAACTATGGTGATCTGAAGCTAACTTACCCAAGCTGTAAAGACAGTTGTGTTTTAGTGGCTTCTCTATCTGTATATGAACAGCAAAGGGGAAACACACACACACACACACACACACACACACACACAAAACCACCCACTGTCTTTTTATTCTAGAAAAGTATGATAATCTGAAGTTGTTTAATTTACATTTTCAATCCTTGACATTTATCAATTTGAGGTTTTATGAGAGAGAGAGAGAGAGAGAGAGAGAGAGAGAGAGAGAGAGAGAGAGAGAGAGAGAGAGGAGAATTAGCCCAAGGCCTCCAACAGACTAACAAGGTATTCTTTCTGCCATGGAACTACACCATCCAGCACCCATGATTTGCAAACTGTAAATGCAGACATACATAAAAGACCAGAAGAATGATGGGGGAATGAAAACAATCCCGATGAACATCAAACTCAAAACCCTTCACTATTTTATTACTACTTTGGGTATTAGATTCTACTAAAACTATTGATAGTCAGACACTGACTTCCAGACATTTTAAATTCTTCATTAATTACTTTTTAATCAAAAGTTTATATTTGGAAAAGCCTTCACGTAATTCTAACTAGCTTAGTTTTTAGCCTTCCATTAAGTATCTATCATAAAGGAGTAAGCTTTAGGCTAGTAATACCAACAATACAAATAGCTGGAATCCATAGGCTGGATTGTTTTTTAAACATATTATAACTGGCATCCTAGAGAGTTGAAGATGCAAATCGAACCAAATAAAAATTATTTTAAGCATGTCTACAGAGTTCTGAAACATATCATAAGCTAGTATTATACATTCGGACTACTACCCCAAGTTTATTTTCCCAACCAACTGCACATGTGGACACACCTACATTCAGCACACCTGATTGTTCAAGCGAGCCGTGTCAAGTAATACCTTAAAAGTGTCACGGCCTAAAACATGTCTTGTGTCCTCAGTAACTTACAGTCTACGTTTTTTCTTGCCTTCCACTCTTAAATCTATGAATACCTATCACGAGACACACAAAAAGGGAGCCTGGTTCAATGGCACTACAAGGAACTGGGCCACACAAACATACTGTTCAAATGCCACCAATTGTCCTCGGTTAAAACCAGATTGAAATCTTTTAGAGATAAAAGAACGAGATAACAGGGCTTTAAAAAGTAGATACTTACTATTTCTTCCAAACCCTTCACATAGAAAGAGCCAAAGGTTTTCAACTTGGAAACAAATTGGAGGTGATATGCATCTCGCTAGCAGATCTAAAAGATGCTGACTAGCAAACTAGCAATTCCAGTATTGGGATTTTCTCTGGGGACGCAGTTACGGGTCCTAGGTGGAGCAGGTAGAGAGGCAGATTGGCTTCTGCCCTCCACAAGCTCACACTTCCGAGGACCGCGGGCCGCATGCTGCCGTCGTCAAGGCAACGACCTCACTCGGTCCCCAGCCATAGGCAGTCTCCAGAGAGAGGAAGGGCCCGGGTCAGAATGCGTCCACGACAGGCGCGGACACCTGCACCTGTCAAGGCCAAGACCTGCAGAGAAACGAGCTAGGGCGAGAGGTCAGGCCTGCCGACAGCCCTGCGGTCGCTCAGCTCGGGGAAGCAGCGCCACTCCAAGTAACCCCGGGCGAAGGCGTTGGCCACCCAGCTGCAAGGGGGCGGCTCTCGCCCGCCCGGGCCCGCCCCGCGTGCGCCGGAGCCTCCCTGATTCTGATTGGTTGGCCCTGTCGTCAGGCGCTATGATTGGCTCCGTGCCAGACCACCCCGCCCCTTCACCTGGAGCCCGCAGGTTCGGTCAGCTGACGTCTCCACACCTACAGTCTTAAGTTTGTAGGGATCTTTCCGCTGGTGCCAGGCCACCTCTGCTTTCAAGGGATCGCAGGTTTACTCGAGTGGCCACGAGGAGGGCGAAGGTGGCAGTTGATGGGGACTGAGGAGACCGTGAGATGTCCCAGCTTGCCCGCCGGGGCGCGACGGAGCGCGGGCCCCACCCAGGGAGGTTCCGCCCAGCCGAGATTCCTCACTCCCTTTTGGTTCCGGGCGGTGGACCGAATTGTCTAGTAGGTTGTTTAGCAAAGTCAGGTAAATAATGTATTGGGTGACAGCCTTGACATGAAAAAGAACCCTGGGGACGCCAGCCTGCTAGGGGAAGGTTTGGAGTAGAGCCCAGAGAAGACATGAAAGGAGGAAAGGCGTTGGAATGGGTGCAAGCGAGGTAAGCAGGAGCCTAAAACTTGCCTTATGTCTGAAGAACCCCATGACTGGGCAAGATCTGTAGACGTTATCATGCATTCGCTGACGTACAGGAAGCAGGGTCTCCCTCATTTTTGAGGCACTGAGACTAAGTTTGCTTTTATTCACAATAGCCACACCATTTGTAATCATAGTTGGTTTCTGAAACAGCTCCATCCAGGGAAGTACCCTTGATAATAGGCATGTTCTAGCCAGCACCCTGGGGTCATTCTTGTATAGTGAGGTCTAAGATTGCTTTAGAATCTCCTCTTAGCTTGGTTCTGCAGGAATTACCTTCACCAAACTGCTGAAAGTCCAGTTCCTCAACCTACAATTTTGAGGAACACATCTGGGATCTGGGTATGGGAATAGCTCCCCCCAACCCCTTGGGTAGCCCAAGATGCATCGTAATGTAGCAGTGATACGTCCTATCTCTCTTTCCTCTAGACTGTAACAAACCACATGAGCTTTAAAAAATACTTTTATGTGTGCTCTGCCAGCATGTATGTCTGAGCATCATGAGCGTGCCCGGTGCCTACAGAGGCCAGAAGAGGGCGTAAGACGCCTTGGAACTGGAGACAGTCAGTTTGTGCGTTCCCATATGCATGCCAGGACTCAGTCAATCCTGGATCCTCAGAAAGAGTGACACGTGCTCTTGGCCGATGATCCATCTCTCTAGCCCCTCACATAATAAATGTTTTGGAATAAACTAAGGTTTGTTGGGGTAAGAAATTTATAAGTGTTTTACTTTTTTCCAACTTTACAAAAATAAACATTTTAAGGGCCTTCAAAGAGGCCCTGAAACTGAAATAGCCCTTGGTATCCATGGGAACAGAAAGGGTAATGGCTAAAAATGAACAGATTATACTTGAGATCAAAAGTTGGAGATAATCGTAAAGGAGATAGGTAGAGGGTATTAAAGTAAAAGTCCCTTTGGAAACTGGGTGGATAGGTTCAATGGTGGAGTGCTTGCCTAAAATGCACAAGGCCCAACGTTTTATAAAGAGGCATGATGGTTGTGGCACAGCACTGTAATCACAGCCCTCAGAGGTGGGAAGCTCCGTCTTGACTACAAATCAAATTCAAGGCCATCCTGGGCTATACGAGACACTATCAGGAAAGGAAGATTATACATCCTGGTTCAAGCAGATTATTGAAGAGGAAAGAGGTAATGTAGAACAAATGGGATTTTTGTTTTCTTGAACAGTAAAATAACTGATAAAGAAAAACAGTAGTGAGCTAAGGAGTTAACATGAAAAATTAGTGAAATACAAAGCATAAGGGTTTATTAGGGCAGAGAATGAGGACAGGAAACGTGCACATTAGCTAGCCTACATCTTTGTTTTTTTTTGTTTTGTTTTGTTTTTTTTTTTGGTTTTTCGAGACAGGGTTTCTCTGTGGCTTTGGAGGCTGTCCTGGAACTAGCTCTTGTAGACCAGGCTGGCCTCGAACTCACAGAGATCCGCCTGCCTCTGCCTCCCGAGTGCTGGGATTAAAGGCGTGTGCCACCAACGCCCGGCGCTAGCCTACATCTTTATAGTGAATTTATCTATTAAACCTAGTATTGGTCAGCCTGACATGGTAGTGAGGAATTTAATCCCGGTTAGGAATATGGAGTTCCAGGCCAGCCAGAGCTATATTGAGACCCGCCTCAAACACAACAAAAACAAAGTAGTGGTGAGACCCAGGCTCAAGAATTAGTAAGCTTAGCCGGGCGTTGGTGGCGCACGCCTTTAATCCCAGCACTCGGGAGGCAGAGGCAGGTGGATCTCTGTGAGTTCAGAGGCCAGCCTGGTCTACAGAGTGAGTTGCAGGACAGCCTCCAAAAACAATACAGAGAAACCCTGTCTCAAAAACAAAACAAAAACAAAAAAAGAAATGTCACTAACATGACCCACTCACAGTAGAAAGGCCAGAAAATGGTTCCTAAAAATCACTAGAATAAGTGACAGTGTCCTAAGGAAACTACTGTGTAGATGCCCTGAGGTAGAACCCAGTCCTCCAGAAATGGCAACAAAACAAAGCTGTAAATATGTGGAGTATGGCATCATAGCAATTCCACTTCCCAATACACACCCAAGAGAAGTAACAGCATATATTCACATAAAAGTTTCTATTTCAATGCTTATAGTTACACTGTTGACAGCAGCTAAGTGGAAATCCAAATGTCCATCATCGGAGACTGAGGATGTAGCTCAGCCCTAGCATTTTCATTCATTACAACATTTTTTGTCAACCTGGTATGTGTCACACACCCTTTTATAGGGGTCAGCTAGGACCATCAGAAAACAGGTATTTACAGTACAATTCGTAACAGTAGCCAAAAGTTATGAAGTAACGGCGAAATAATGTTATGGTTAGGGTCAGCATGAGGAACTAACTGTATTAAAGGGTCACAGCATTAGGAAGGTTGAGAAATGACCACTAATGGGTGCAGGGTTTCTTCTGGGAAGTGACATGTGGTTGCTGGGAACTCAGGACCTCTGGGATAGCAGTCAGTGCTCTTAACCTCTGAGCCATCTCTCCAGCCCAACTTTATCATTTTTTCCCCGTTTTTAGAGTTTCTGTGTAGCTTTGGAGCCTGTCCTGGAACTTGCTTTGTAGACCAGGTTGGCCTTGAACTCGGGAGTTCTCACTCCACTCCACCTGCCTCCCAAGTGCTGGGATTAAAGGCATGGACCACCCACCACCTCAAGGCTCAGTCCCCTCAAGCTTCATCCACGACTTCAATGAGATGATTCTCACCCAGCCTGCTGCCAGTCATGCAGGGCTCATATGCACAATCAACTGCCCCTCTCCTATCCTCACAGACGGGTTAATTTTTTTATTTTTAATATGCATTGGTGTTCTGTTTTGCCTGTGAAAAGGCATTGGGTTGTAGTTACAGTTATCAGCTGCCATGTGGGGGCTGGGAGTTGAACCTGGGTCCCCTGTAAGAGTAGCCAGTGCTCTTAACCACTGAGCCATCTCTCCAGCCCTAGATGGGTTATTTCTTGCTGCCAATGAATCCATGACAGACATATATGGACCCAGTCCTGGTCCATAAAAACTTACCGAAGTCCTTCTCAATGCGACCCTACACTTAAGTAGGTAGAACCTCCATTCAACTGTGTTCCTAAAAGACCAACGAGGCCAGAGGCAGCTGCTACATGGCCACTCTGAAGACTTCATGACAGGAAATTTACCCGAATCACTGTACTTGAGGGTCTGATGATACAAATTGGCCAGTACTAACTCATTTGTCATTCTGACTTCCACACAGCATTTAGCACAACTGTTTTTTTCCTCCTGAAACCCTCAAAACAAACTTCCAAAGGCACCAGTCCTTGCCCTATTTGGTGTCCCAGTATTCTCTGTATGCAACACCTGTATCTATGATCCTTAGAGACTTTTTTTTTTTTTTTTTTGGTTTTTCGAGACAGGGTTTCTCTGTATTGCTTTGGAGGCTGTCCTGGAACTCACTTTGTAGACCAGGCTGGCCTCGAACTCACAGAGATCCTCCCGTCTCTGCCTCCCAAGTGCTGGGATTAAAGGCGTGTGCCACCACACCAACGCCCGGCCCTTAGAAACTTTCTATCAGCTTAGTATTCCGCCTCTCTGTAACTTTCCTAGGTGATCTTATCTAATAAAAGGACCAAAACAACACTCAGCACAGGACTTAGAATTGGCCAGGTGTAATGGCACACACCTTTAATACTAGAGGACTCTAATCTCAGGTAGATCGTCAGCATTTGAGGTCAACCAGGGGAAACCCTTCCTTACCAAAGGGGGAAAAAAAAGAAGGGGGGAGGCAGGAATTACACATTTGATTGACAAATATCCAAATTGGCCTACATCTATGTTGTTTTCCCACTTGAAATGCTCTTCTCTAAATTTAAATAGAGCTATTTACAGTCACTATTACATTCTTTCCTATCTCTATCCCTTATAAATCATGTATTCTTGGGTAAACTAGGTTACTGTGCTGTCAGATCTAACCTTTCTGTAATACAAACTGTGTAGAGGCTGCTATAAAGTTTCCTGCTGTACACACTAAGTTGAGGTTATTTGTGCCTGCAAATCACCCAATGAGATTTTTCTATTCCAAAAGCTACAATCCTTGTTACCACACTACACAAAAAGCCCACAGAACATTAGTTAACAGCTTAATGCCTGTCCCAAGTCTCTACAGCACTCTTAGCAAAGTGCTTCCTGAATATATTCAGGGCTGTGCAAGTTCTAGTTCCAAGACAGCCAGGGCTAGTGTGACCAATTCAGAAAAGTATTCAGGTCACAGAAGCACTTAGCAAACTTCTGATGAACGGTTTTCATTACCTTCATTAAAACAATGACTCATACAAAACCACCTTAAAGAAAAATCAAAACACAGCAGAGCGGTGGCACACATCTTAATGCCAGCACCACTTGGGAGGCAGACAGGTGGATCTCAATGAGGCCAGCCAGGTCTACAAGGCAAGTTCCAGGACAGCCAGGGCTGTTAAAAAGAGAAACCTGGTCTTGAACCCGCCCCAAAAGGAAGTCCTACCAATTAAATTTCCCCAGTACTTCATTTTGTTTGTTTCCTTTCTTTTTGGTTTTATGAGGCGGGGGTTTCTCTGAAGCACTGGCTGTCTTGAAAAATGACTCTGTAGAGCAAGTTGGTCTTGAACTCCCTGCTTCGGCCTCCTGGAATTACCACGACCCTCAGTATTTAACAGGACTGTCTTGTTGATCACCACTGGCAACCCTGAACACAATGAAGCAAGACAGGAAAGTGCTCAGTGAAGGTATGACTGTAAATCACTTAATCTATTGTTTCTGACTTCCTAACTTCCAGTTAACTAGTGTCCCCAAGGAAATGTGGAAAGCCAAGCCAAAAACAAATCTTTCATAATTTGGAATATTATTAAACAGATACATATACACCATTAACAGATTTGGGGATTTTAGCCCCTTTTCTCATTTGTCAAAAGCAGCTAGGAACCTTCATTATTTTAGAAGCATTGCAATGACTTTGAACAGTCGTTTTCTGAGTTTCAAGGGTCAAAGGGTATCTCAGCCAAGGCTGACTTCAAACTTACTACTACCCATCCTGCCTCCACCTCCCAAGTGCTAGGATTACTGGTTGTGTGTCACTTTACCTGGGAAACTTACTAGAATAGAATCTTGTCATAAACCATTGTGAAGATTTTTTTGGGCAATATTTGAAATAATATTTAAAAGAATTTCCTGAGCCAAGTTGAGTATACTTCAGTGGTAAAAGGTCCTAGGCTCATCAATTTTAAAAACCATTGAAATATTTTAAAAATAAGCCAGGGAATCAACCACACATGCCTACATACTACCAGAGGCCCCCATGTTTTGAAGGCCAAGGCAACAGAACCACTTGACTTGAGAAGCCTGAGATGAAGCCAGCCTGATTAAAGTTCTCCAGATCTTGTCTCCAAAGCATCAAAATTCCAGATCCAGTAGCTTGTTCCTAGGCATTTTAGCTTATTTTCAATACAGCCTATATTTTCTCTTCCTTTAAAAACAATTTTTGAAGCCAGGTGTTGGTGGTGCATGCCTTTAATCCCAGCACTGGGGAGGCAGAGGCAGATGGATCTCTGTGAGTTCAAGACCCCACCAACTATATATATATATATATATATATATAAAGTGTACTTTTAGCTCTTAAGCTCTTTTCATTCTCTTCAGTCCGTAACATTCTTTTACTTGTAAAATAGGCATCAAAATAGACTGTGATAGC